AAGAGAGGGACAGAGAAAGAAAAGAGAGAGGGGGTAGAAAGAGGAAAAATGGAGACAGAGAGAATGTGGTGCCGTCTAGTGATAATCAGGAGCTGGCTCACTTCGCAGGTGCAACTCACACGTCCGTATATATAACAGCTACGCGGTGCATGACGTGCCAAAAAAATAAAGATAAATATCTGTAAGTGTAAGATAGCAGCTACGCGTAGTATGACGTATATGCCGGTGTGTGATACATGTAAGTATGAACGCGGAACTGCCTGCGCAACTCAACCACGACTGCAAATATAAAATGTAACTTATTACCTCCGCCCAACGGAGTTGGAGGAGGTTTTGTTTTCGCTCTCGTGTGTTAGTGTGTTTGTGTGTTAGTGTGTTCGTGTGTTTGCACGATCGATATTAGCACGTCGAGTCGTATGGCGTATGTCGTATGTGCCGCTGTGGTCGCTCGATATCACCCAGCAAGCCAACGAGCCCAGCGAGCCAGCTCGTAACACATACATGTTACATGGGAGCGTGTACATGTCAGTACGCTGGCGTATATCGTGGCTTATTCGTGTGTTCGTGAGTCGTATGACGAATGGCATATGTCGTTGGCAGAGGTACGCACTTCGTCAGTGCACTCTGTCTAGTTATAAATGTAACACGTCGTTGTCTTTGTGTGAATACGCGCACGACTTCTCGCCAAAGTTGTCTACATCATTTGTTCGCGATTTGTATACCGCTGATGATCATAACTCCATGTGTCGCATGCTCCTCTATTATCAGCATTCTATGTACAACTCTGCTATCATCGTGCTTGTATGGTGTGTGTTGTCCGCACATGAATGTTTGATCCCGACCGCGAAAGTATGTGAACTAACGAGAACCAGAACAGCTGACAAATACAAGATTAGGATTCCAAGTACACAAATTCTCATTTATTTTACAAAAAAAGTTATTTAACAAAAATTCGGATTCAATACATTGAACAATAAATCGTCTTGTTATTATACCAACAAAATTACTAATCATGAAATTATTATTTCGTATTTTGATTGTTATTTATAATTTTATCATCATTATTTACAAGCTGGCAGCTCTGTGGTGGACACCAGGTGGCGACGGCTCTGCGGTGGTGGACACCAGGCGGCGGCGGCGGCTCTGCGACAGGCACCAGGCCGCGACAGCTCTGCGGTGGTCGGCACCAGGCGGCGATAGCTCTGCAGTGGTGGACACCAGGTGGCGACGGTGTAGGCTGCTTTGTGGCGGCGGCGGTGTGGACTGCTCTGTGGGGTGGAGATCCGTCGATGGATGACAGAATCTGCGCTCTCCTGCAGGGTGTGCCCTGAAAACTGGCGACGTGCACGAACAAGGACAAAAAGACCAAAGACGAGATAAGGACAGACAAACTTTCACTCGCAACTATCACATACTGCGCCCTCCTGTGAGCGTACGTTCGTGAGGCTTGCTAAATGCAATTTAATAAGACCATAGCGATATTTATTTCCTACCCAGACCTAGCCGCCCGGCTGGCCAAATATTCGTTAATAATTTCGATATTGTCAATGTGACAATACAGCCGAAATCTGTCCATGTTTTTTTTGACTTAGTACAGTGGTAAGTATTTGTCAAATAACCCATGATTGATATGAAAACCTAGAGAACCTTGTCATTTGATCCAAGAAAATGAGTTTCGATATGTTGGCTGCAAAATGCGTCTGTATATGTTTTGACATCACCGAAAAGCTGGCTATCATTGTAATGACAGAACAACCCCATGTTGTACTGCCAGGACAGCCATAGAGAAATTTAAAGTCCTAAAATTCAATAACGAAACGCTGATGGGATAGTTGAATAAATGTTTCAAAGCGCGGAATTGACTTGGATGCTAGAGTGTACAGTATCTGCCTTGCAGACAAGAGTACAGATGACAGTCCTAGTTGTCACGTTCATCAACGCGTTAGACTAACTATCTATGCACACACGCGCGCACACATGCACACACGCGCACGCACACACACGCAGCCCACACCCAACACGCGTCCATACAAAACACACAATCGATACGTACATGCCAACATGTGACGTTTGTATTCATGACAACAGCTGAACGAACAGAAATGACAATTTCGAAAAAAAGTTCAAAAAAACACATTACAGAACCTATACATGCAATATTACGTGACACGTGTTATGAAGAAATGAATACAACATACGTACATAGCGATGTTCACGCCACAGGCGGCATTGGAATGATATCCAAATATCTGCACGTACCACGTTACGACGCACAAACAATGTGGTAAATATGTTCCTGCATAACAATTTTAATCCCTCATTTAATATGCCGATAAATATATATATATATATACTGTCATGTATATGTATTCATCAAAGTTTGTTGTTTTCATGATGCAAATGAGAATGATAAAGTAAGCTGCATTTTCTAATTCTACATTCTAAATGTTATGGGGCATATACCGGAGCGGAGCGTTTGGAGTGGTCGCAAGATGGCGGCCAGTGACGACGTGGCGGCGTCGTTTTCTCGCTGACAGAGGATTGGCTAGCCGCTATCCAGATAGTATACAGAGATCAGACAGTAATGTCATTTATATACGTCACAATACTGTACTATGAGCTACGAAGGACGGCAGCGTGATATCGCGGCACGCAGTAGGATTGTTTTAGACGATGTGATGATGTCATGCTATACGATTTGATGCAAGTCCTGGTTTCTGTATTTGCCCTGCATAGATGCGTGTATCACGCGCTCGGTTTTGAGTGAGTGCGCCGGTGTTTATTCAGTGAACTGGAAGTCCTACACCTGTATTCACATTTGTCACACGCAAATGGCTTCTCTCCCGTGTGAGTGCGCATGTGTACCTTGAGATTACCGAGGGTAGTATATCTGTGTTCACATATATCGCACGCATACGGCCTCTCTCCCGTGTGAGTGCGCATGTGTGACTTAAGCTTACCGGACGTAGAACACTTATATTCACATCTCTCACATGCAAACGGCCTCTCTCCCGTGTGAGTGCGCATGTGTGACTTAAGCATACTGGACGTATAACACTTATATTCACATCTCTCACATGCAAACGGTTTCTCTCCCGTGTGAATGCGCATGTGTACCTTGAGATTACCGAGGGTAGTATATCTGTGTTCACATATATCGCACGCATACGGCCTCTCTCCCGTGTGAGTGCGCATGTGTGACTTAAGCATAGTGGACGTGGAACACTTATATTCACATCTCTCACATGCATACGGCCTCTCTCCCGTATGAGTGCGCATGTGTAACTTAAGCATAGTGGACGTATAACACTTATATTCACATCTCTCACATGCAAACGGTTTCTCTCCCGTGTGAGTGCGCATGTGTACCTTGAGATTACCGAGGGTAGTATATCTGTGTTCACATATATCGCACGCATACGGCCTCTCTCCCGTGTGAGTGCGCATGTGTGACTTAAGCATAGTGGACGTAGAACACTTATATTCACATCTCTCACATGCAAACGGTTTCTCTCCCGTGTGAGTGCGCATGTGTACCTTGAGAGTATCGAGGGTCGTATATCTGTGTTCACATATATCGCACGCATACGGCCTCTCTCCCGTGTGAGTGCGCATGTGTACCTTGAGATTACTGAGGGTAGTATATCTGTGTTCACATATATCGCACGCAAACGGTTTCTCTCCCGTGTGAGTGCGCATGTGTATCTTGAGATAACCGAGGGTAGCATATCTGTGTTCACATATATCGCACGCATACGGCCTCTCTCCCGTGTGAGTGCGCATGTGTGACTTAAGCATAGCGGACGTAGAACACTTATATTCACATCTCTCACACGCAAACGGTTTCTCTCCCGTGTGAGTGCGCATGTGTATCTTGAGATAACCGAGGGTAACATATCTGTGTTCACATATATCGCACGCATACGGTTTCTCTCCCGTGTGAGTGCGCATGTGTACCTTGAGATGATCG